AGAGGCATGCTAAGACTTGCGCTTGGGAGTGGACATCCTCTAGTCTTTCATGGACAAGAACTTGTCCTGGCACCAACCTGAATGATTCATACAGCTAGGGTGAATGCTGGATGGGGATGGAGGACCGGAAGTCCTAAAAGATTCTCCAGTACTTGTCCAAAGTATTCCTGATTCTAACTTCTTGGTCTTCCTTCACATCCTTACTGTTTCTGCATTTGACAAATAAACAGTTTTGATGGTGTGGAGAAAGAGGACAGAGTCTCAGTTTGTTACCAAGGCTGGTCCTGAACACGGAACAACCCTCCGCACTTGCCTCCTGAGCTCTGGGATCCCGTGAGTACACCACCGTGTGCAGCACAGATCGAATACTCACCCTAGTCTTGCATGGTAGCTCAGCTTGTCTGCATGTTCTAATTTAAGGCTTCATGTGTCTGTGTGTCTGTGTACCACACTCACAATTTGACTGAAGTTCCAGAAAGGGTGCCGTTTTATCTCAAGCTGTATTTTAAGTTTTACATATTAAATGCTAGACAGCAAAGCTTAGGATAGAGAGAAACCGCTTGTCGCTGTTCCCATTCCTCTCAATTTAGGGATTCAATTGGAGTTGTAGAGTTAAGAGCAAGCTACATATGGTGGTGCATACTTGTAACCCAGTAATTGGGAGCCCAGGGCAGGAGGATCACAAGTTTGAGGCCAGTCTGTGCTACATAGCAAGGCTTTGTCTCAAAAAGAAATGCATTACCAGGTTCCATGTTGAGGGCTAACATTTAGTCATTTAATCTCCATGTCAGGCCTACATAGTGAGTACTTAGTAGGTACTATTTGTACAGAGAAACTAACAGGCATAAAGATGAGTGGGCTGTTATCCAGAATGACAGCTGCTGGGAGCAGAGCCTGTCAGCCCGGCTGGTAATCGCGGCCCCGTTGGCATTGCGGGAAGTGGATTCCTGACACTGCACACACTTCTTTTCCTCAGAAGGCTTCCTCGTGCGACACCCTGGGCCTGAAATGAAAGCTGGATCATTTGAGTGAATGTGGAGTGAGACTGAGAATGGTCATGTTGCAATCTTCTCACACGTGGCTCTGGGCACCAAGCCAGGCAGCTGAGCCCATGCTGGGAAAATGGCACCCACCTCCCTGGATGTTCCACCCATTTCCTAGGAGACAGGACTGCTCTTGTCTCCCTGGTCAGAAGGAGTGGACACATTTATCAAATATTATTTGAGGTGTCTTTCTGTCTTTCTCTCATGGCATATCATAGATTAAGTGCTATTTGTTACTTATAATTTATATAGTAGTAAATACCATTTTTACTTACTATGATACAGGCCAGGCTCATTAGTTCATTTGGATCCTCAAAGTTAATTTTACTTGTTTTATGGAGCATTTGTGAGGTTTTCTGTAGCTTGTGCTTCCTAGAGAGAGGAAAGGCATGGGCTTAATTCCAGGGCTACACAATTGTGAGGCAGAATATAGCCTAATGGTTCCCTCAACATACATTATTTCATTAAATTCAGTATGCTCCACAATAATCTTCCAGATTCTGGGGTTCATTTCTCTTGAACACCAACGATGGCTCTGATTCTTCTTGATTCTCTCTCTTCTTCCAGTACCTTCCAGATACTCTTTCTTTTCTTCTACTCCTCTATCTCCTTAGCTTGGTAGCAGGAGTAGGTTCTGCACCTACCGTGTGTGTATGTGTGTGTGTGTGTGATTAAGCCCCACCCCAGAGTCATGTTGGGGAGGAAACTAGCTTTTAAAATAATATTTTTCATTTATTCTTTGAAACGTTCATTCCTTTATACAATGCATTTTGATTATGTCCACCCACTTCCCTCCAACTCCTCTTACTGCCACAGCCCCAATCTCCTTCCCAGCTTTCTGTTCTCCTCCATTTTTTTTCCCTTTTTCTTTTCTTTTCTTTTTTCTGGTTACTATTGATCTTCTGAGTCCAATTAGTTTTGCCCACAGAGTGCATGGGAGTGAAGCCATCCACAGGGGCATGCACAGCCTGTCAGAGGTCATGTCCCCAAGGGAAAATGACTCTCTGGGAGGACACAATTATACCCTGTCTTTCTGTCACTTAAAACCCTGACTATTAGCCTTGCCACACCACAGAGGAAGACAAGCAGCCAGTCCTGATGAGACCTGAAAGGCTAGGGTCAGATGGAAGGGGAGGAGGACCACCCCTATCAGTGGACCCTATCAGGGGAGGGGAATGGGGGTAAAGAGGGAGGGTGGATGGGATTGGGAGGGGATAAGAAGGGAGCTACAGCTGGGATACAAAGTAAATAAATTGTAATAAATAAAAAATAAATTAAAAATATTAAGTAAATACAATGACTATGAAAAAAAAAAAACAGCAAACCTGACTCCTGGAAAACTTGATGATGGAGAGTTGGTATAAATAAGAAAGAAAGCTGGATAAAGGGTCTTCTGGTCCCAGAGTAAGGGTCGTAAGTTCTGTTCCCACTTTGGCCACTGATTTCTATTAAGGCCCTCTACTGCTCACTCTCAATTCTCGGTATACCAATCAGGAAGGAAAGGGCCAGCTGGGTGCTGTGGCCCACGGCTGTAATCCCAGTACTTGGGGAGGCAGAGGCAGGCAGATCTCTGTGAGTTCCAGGACAGCCTGGTCTACAAAGTGAGTCCAGGAAAGCCAGGCAGGGCTACACAAAGAAACCCTGTCTCAAAAAACCAAACCAAGCCAAAACAAAACAAAACAAAACAAAACAAAACAAAACAAAACAAAACA